TCCCAATGAACCAAGTTAGACAGGGTAAGCCTATATTTGGGGTTTTTTGAAAAAAAGTATTCAAAATTTAATGAAACCAAAAAAAGAACATTCCCATAGAAAAAAAAGAGCATTCCTATAGAAAAGAAAAAGATGATACGTGAAAATGTGAATCTCTTGGCACAGCTTTTCTTTTTTTTAATTATATAAGTTTAACATGTTACTTCAAAGCTATCCTACTTAATCTGTTCCCTTCTAAACTTCCTTCAGTTCTCTTATATACATTTTTTAAAATGCTTCAAAGGCCCACTTCTCTTTCTTTTCTAATTTTTTGGGAGGCAACTCTACTGCTAGCTCTCCTCTTTCCACCTTCAAATAATAAAAGAAAAACACAATCCTTGCAACAAATAAGCATAATAAGGCAAAACAAATCCACACATTTGTCATTAGGCTTACATTTGTTAAACTGAATGAAATATCTTAATTGAGGATTAGAAGCTACTCAAATTCTATTCTGCCTGCTGATTTTAAAGAGCAATATAGCCGATCTATGACAAAACATAGTCTTAATTTCTTTGCCAAGGGCTTTAGACATATTTGACCTCAAATAGCACAAGAACTAAAAGGGGAAAAAAAGCAGGTAAGGCAGTTGAGTCACTTCTTCAAAATAAGTATTTTTTTTCCCACAAAAAGCACTAAACAATCTATAATGATCCTAAAATTCAAAACTATGTAAGCTACCACCTCTTATCTGTTTCTTCAAAAGGTATGTAATCTTCAGTCAATAATACAGTTCATCCATGGAAGAGCAATGCTGATTCAGTCCTGAGGCTGCCAACTCTCAACCAGATTAGGCCTCATTGATGAACAATTACTCCTCAGTCTAGGAGGATTTCCAGAAACACAGTTGTTGAGGGTTTCTGTGGCTTTGCACTTTTACAACAAGATCTAGGTTAGGGCAGCTAGGTGGTTCAGTGGATAGAGCACTGGCCCTGGAGTCAAGAGGATCTGAGTTCAAATCCAGTCTCAGACCAGACACTTGACACTTACTAGCTATGTGACCCTGGGCAAGTCACTTAATCCCAACTGCCTCTCAAAAAAAAAAAAATCTGTCAATAAAAAAAAAAAATAAGATCTGGGTTAACAAAACGAACTCTACTAACATCTCTGTTCCATACCTTATCCAGATTTCTTGGCCTGCTTTGTCATCTCAACTAGCAGTAAATGTCTATGTCAACCTAGGCCTATTCGAGTGTACCAGACACTCTGAATCCAAGCAGTGACATATTCTATATAAGGTGAATTCCCATATTTGAAATTATGGATCTTTATCTTGTCTGTTCTCTTTTAAGTATATATGTGTATAGATCTACATATATGTGTGTATATATATATATATATAAAGAGTTAAGAAACAAGTTTTCACACTAATTAATTTTATAACTTCAATAAACTATTAACTATATTTAGTGATTCTTTTGCTTACTAACTGTCCAATACAAGAGGAAAAGAAAAATTATTCTCTAAATTTTGTCTGATAAGAATAGTCAAAAACCTTCAAATCTCTTCCCGAAAACCCCATCAACCCATTGAGGATGCTCAAACAATATGTTACAGTAAAGTATTCACATGCTGTTAGTGAGACTGCTTTCTTACAAGCTTAAGTGCTATCCAGTTTCCTGCATATTTTTCAATCACAACTTGGAAAGCAATCCATAAATCCTTGGATTCAGGGATCATGAGGACCAAGCTGGTCAGTCACACTCTATCATATCCACTTCATCTCCAGCTTGGGTTCTGCCAACAGGGCTTTACCCGGTCAGTATCTGGCCCAGGAAGGCCAGCTATTCTGTGCTGCTTCTGAATCTTTTCCAAGGCTCTTCAGAAGTCCTTCAGTAAACCACCCTATGTTCCTAACTGAGTCCCTGACATTGGGAAATAACAAACTATGACAACATGGTGCCCTTTCTCTTTCCCCTCCCTTTGTTTTTCTTTCCTTGAAAACTGGAAAGTTCCTCTGACTCCTGACTTTGGGGGCTGGTTCCTAAATTCAAAGTAAATCTGTGAAGCTTCCTTAAGAAGTTAAGAACCTAAAGTCATATTTCTATCTTCAACTATTTACTTTAAATCTAAATTAAGAATTTCAAAGTTTTAAATCAAATATGAATTAAGCTTTTTTGCCCCAGAATAGAATCTTGCAGAAAAGATTATAACTCTATCCTACTGAATAGTAAATTTTTGCAACAATAGCCAATAGCAGCCAAGTGAAACTAAACAATCCAGGAATCTCTGACACTTCAGACTAGGTGCCAGAAGATACATCACAAAATTGAAACATACAGTACAGCTAATGTCACAATCAATCTCACACATACCACAATTGTCCTTAATGTTATATTACAACCACACTTTAAACTCTCATCACCATTCAAGATAATCAATTCACTATCAATATTTACTGAATGGACCGTTTTGCACAGCAACACAAAAACCACCAAACTGTCCTTAAAAAGGTATCATATTTTGTTTCATTAACAAGTATTACTAAACAAAAATACAAATTCTTCCCCTTTCTAATTTTTAAACTTGTAAATTCCATAGGAAACTATAATTATCCATAAAGGCCTTTTTTCATGTTTATTTATTTTAAAGGGCTTACTACATAGGTTTCTCTCCTTTATACTGAATACTTTAAATATAAGGTTTCATCATACATACTTCCCTTAAATTGAAGGTACAATAATTCTAAATAATGAAGCAACAGACAACTTTAAAAAAAAAAAGGAAATACAATTCACAGTAATACATTTTTAATGACTATTTTTCCTCTCCACAGATGTAATTTCATTTTGATCTTTTTTGAAATCTGGGGAAAATTTAAATACAGTACTAAGAAAAATCAGTTCCTATGTGTTTAATTGAATGTGGCTCTGCCACAACCACATAAAGGAGTGTCTACCTGCCTACAAAAATAAAGTCAGTTTGCCCTCTCCTCAAAAAAATATATACATATAAAATATATAGGCAGTATAATAAATTAACACTTACTCTTTCCTACTTCATATATACAGAGAGGAATGGCTATTTAAAATGCTGTTTTATGATTAAATAGGTCTTTTTACAACAGTTGCTAAAGTTTTTTAACCACAAGAAAAGTTCACTTAGAGTATCATTCTTGCAAAGGGTTCCAAAAAAAAGTCTGATTCTGCTACAGCATAATCTAAGTAAGACTTTTGCTAAAAGCTACACTGGTGATCTAATATACCTAAATAACTACCTAAAAGATTATGAAAACAAAGAACACTACAAAGACAAAGGAGCTGTCTTTAAGTTGAAACACTTTAAAATATCAATTTCCTCTCACATTTTCTTTATTCATATTTGCATTTAACTTGGAAAATTACAGCACAAAATACAAGTTTTGTTTTAACTGGACGGTACCACCTTTTCTGGCATGAAGGGTTTGTGGGGGCGGAATGATACACAGTTAAAGCAGCTATGACTTTAACAGGTAAATGTTAATGTACATTATTTGTGAACTAGAGTTGGAGGATGCTGTGGAAGGGCCTATTTGACCGAAATGTTTTCCACACAAAAGTGCTAATAAATACGAAAGATTTTCAATTATTTATTGTAAATATGCCATAAAAGGAACTTTACTGTCAAATATTTTGGTCTGAGGCTAAAAATAATTCAAAATTTAAGAAGCTGCTGGACGTTTTTAAAGCAGATTATTAAGTCCAAAATAGCAAAAGACAATTTAAAAATGAGGTGAAGATGGTTCCTTTATTAAACAGATATCATTCTTACACACATCTCAAAATACTCTCTCACATTCCTAAGTAACCATTTGTCTCCAAAACGTTTTAGATTTCATTCTTCCAATAACTGCCTTTTTTTCCTTTTTCTTTTTTTTTCTTTCTTCTTTTCTTTCTTTTTTTTCCGCCAAAAAGAAAAAGAGGAATCTAGCATAAAAGCTGATTACCACTGGAATCCCTCATCACTACCCTACAAATCAAACTCAGCTCCTTTGGGGCAAAATTTGGAAACAGTCAAACTCAGATGGTTTAGTTTCCTTTGACTTTAAGGATATACATAAAAAGAGACTCTACCAGAACCAGTTATTACTATCCTTATGCTTTAGAACCTTTACCAAATCCCAAACTGTGGACGGCTCTATCCGGCAATAATAAACCGTGGCAACTGATGCTAGTTATTAAAACGCCTTGGAGTCTCCTTTCACTTTAGGGTAAGGATGCACTTAAAAAGAGTCTCCACCAGCACCAGTTTTTATTGCTATCCTTAAGCTCTAAAACGTTTAACAAAACCCCAAACTGCGGGCGGCTCTACTCGGCAATAACAAGCTGTGGCACTGGTTGCTAGTTATTAACGCAAGAAAGTAAGAACCCCTCAATGAAAGTGGAAGAGAAAAGACCAGCCCAAGATCTTCCATTTAGATACAGGCCTCAGCTAAGGACCAAAGCAATTAGGCCACTCGACAGTCGTCAACAACAACAACAACAACAACAACACGCAAACCATTTTTCCAACCTCGACCAAAGAGGCGGTTGTACGCAAACACATTCTCTTCCCCCTCCCCCAAACACACACACACACTCCACCCCCAGAATGAATCGTGCGGATAGAAGAGCAGAAGGGAGAGGACTGTCTCCCTTATTGTTACGGCAGAGAGATCCGGAGGAGCCTAACAAAGGCTTCACCCCCCTCGGTCTCACCCATTCCCCCACTGGGTAACACCAAAAATAAATTAATTAATGACGGCACTGAAGTCCCTATCCCGAGGTCAGACAGCACCGGCCCGTGGGGGGAGGGGGATAGACACCCGTACCCACAGCACTTGCTCCGGCTCGGCCTGGTGCACTTTTGAGCTCCGGGAGGGTTTGGGGGGGGAGGGGGGCGCGGGGAGGGTCCGTTTTGGGGGGCGGGAGGAGTGAAGCGCAAGAGCGAGAGGGAAGGGAAGGGAGGCAGGGCGGGAGGGTCGGGGCGCCGCGCTTTGTTACCGGCTGAGAGTAGCTCCGGCCGCCTCCCTCGCCCCCGCCCCGGGGCCCGGGCTCCCGGCGGCTCTCGCCTTCCTCAGCCGAGTAGTCGATCTCGCCCTCCTCCGTCTTGAGGCGCTTGGCCTGGCTCTCGTACTCTCGCTCCTCGTACGACTCTCCTGGAGATGAGGACGAGGAGGACATGGCGACGGCAGGGCCGAGGGACTAAAGGACCGGCTGGGCCGGGCTAGGCAGGCCGCCGCCGCCCCCGGGCTTCTCCGCTCCGGCCTCTCGCCGCCGCCGCCGCCGCCGCTGCCGTCGAAGCGCGCAGCCTAAAATGATCCGCACGAGAGGGCGGCAAAGGGAGCGAGCGAGCGAGCGGCCGGCCGGAGGATGGAGAGGGGTAGGGGCGGAGAGAGGGAGGGGGACGCCCCGGGAGGAGTCTCCCTCCGGAGAGGCCGCTCCCCCTGGTTACCGGCGCCAACGGACCCGAGCGGCCTCCTCCTCCTCTCCTAGCCCTAGGGGACGCGACGGGACTTGGGGTGGGGGGGGGGTGACTTGGAGACAACAGCTTCCGGTCTTCCCTCCTCCCCCGCCCTCGGGACTCTGAATCCCAGCAGCCACCCGCCGGGGATCCTAATCTAGCCCCGGCCTTACCGGCCACGCCTCCTGCTGGGATCCCTGCTCCTATTGGCCGGCGTGGTGACAGACCTGTCCTTCTATTGGCTCGCCGGACTGTTTGTCCAAAGCCTCCCTTTTCCATCCCGTTCCCCTCTGCCCTCCCCGCATCCTTCTCCCCGGGCGCGGAAACCTTGGCATCGCAATGGTGACACTGCTTCGGAGTCCCCGGGTCCCTGGGTCCCCGGGTGCCCGAGCGCGCGGGCCCTTCTCGGGGCGCCGACCCCGCGGGCGGGAGCTGCGCCTACCATGCGAAGGGAGGCGGGGAGAGGAGCGAGGAGCGAGGATGGTGGCGGTTAACCGCCTCTCCCGCTTATTTAAATAAGGGTTCTGAGGGCTTCTTTGCCTTCAAAGAAGGGCGAGGAAACCCACTCAGCGCCTTTCGCGCCCCCCCCACTCCCGAGGATTCCTAAAACGGAAGGTTCCGCCTGTCGGATGCCAGGTGCTCCTTTCATGAAGCCACATCCTCTGCGCCCCGGGGCTGTCTGTGTCCCTCCCGCCCGTCCGCGCCTCCTGCGTGGGATTACAAAGCATCTTCCTTTCCGACCCGATCCGCCTGACTTCACTTGGGGCTTTGCTCTAGACTGGCGGCGATTGCTAATGGAATGTCCGTGGGGCTTTAAGGTTACAGAGCTCCTATCTACTGATGTCAACTCCTCTGATCTTCACAACCCTGGGAGGGAGGGGTCAATGATCACCCCCATTTTACAGACGAGGAAACTGAGGCAGGCGGAGACGTTAAATTGACTTGCTGGGCCAGTGTCACCCAGATAGTAAATGTCTGAGACAAAATTCAAATTCAGTAATCAACCCCAGACATCAAGTGGTTGTTTTTTTTTCTTTCTTTCTTTTTCTTAATCGGAGAAAAAATTCTCTTTGGCTCGACTCCTTTAGCCACAACTCACCTAATCAGCAACTGGCTTTAAGTGTTTTTATAGCCTCTTTCCTTGATTTTTTTTTTTGTCTTTCATGGAGTCGACCCTGGATTCTTAAAGGTCAATAGGGGCTCCAGCTACCAGACTGGAAGGACTTTGGAGCAAGATCGGCTGACAGTGGACCGCCTACCTAAACCTGGCCAGCTGCAAGGTGATGAATGCTTTGGCAGGAGTAATTTTTGAAGACAAGCTATAAAATTATGCAGGGGCTGTGGTTCTAAGGGGAGAGGAGGGGCCCACACCAATGAAATTACCGATCTTCAAGTACTGGAGGAACTTTCTTATAGTTACCCTCCAAAATGGTAATAGATCTGAGATCCTGTTTGACATTTCCAACACCTACCTTCCACCGCTTACCAGAATCACTGAAAAGAGGCACGATCAATCCCCTTTTCAAGGGGAATTTGATGCAAAGAGGATTCATCTTAGATTCTATCCAAAGACTTTTAGTTAGTGAAATACCAAAAGAATCTTATAAATCCATCAGATTGTAAACTCCTTGAGGGCAGGAAGTGTCTGTGGCTCATTTTGTATCCCCGGTGCTTAGCACAGTGCCTGGTACGTAGTAGGGGCTAAATAAATGTTTATTGACTGAAGTTGATTTTGCCTGTAATTTAGTTAGGTCCTATAAAGTATGGGGTACTAGGAGTGCTATTCCATTGTATGCCTTTTAATTCCTGGTCCAGTGCCTGGCACTGGTAGGAATTAAAGAAATATCACAAGAGCCAAGGGAGAAATTGTTTGTACCTCAACAACAGAAGATACAGTTGCACCAACAGCAGCAATTAAACACACATTTATGATCCCAGTGTTGGGCCTTGAGCTATGGTTACAGAAACAAAAAAGGAAACAGTCTTTCACTAGGGGAATATCACAGGTACAAAAATGAGTCTTATCAGGACTCTTTGTCATTGCCCCTCAATTTCTTCCCTAAAATGTGGGTTTCTAGTTCCAATTTCTCGGACTAATTGGACTATGTTTTTAGGTGTTTTCTCCCACAGCCTATATTTCTGTTCTTTTTCAAAGCAGTTCCTTTCCACTGAAAAAGATGTCTCCCTCACTGTTGACAATGTTTTGCTATAAATTGTTCTGTGCTTTATAATTTCCATTGCCTATCATATTTAAATCCAATCATATACTCTTTATACAACACTACACAACTATAATCATTTTCATGAGACTGCAGGTGCACACTGACAAGGGACACAGGAAGCAATTAAGCTTTTGATATAAAAACAAGATGAAAGAAACTGGACAAGAGAAGGACAAGGAGTTTTTTTTAAGAGCTAAATTACATATAAAGAGAAAACCATACATGAGGAAATGTCATTGGCAAATCGGTACAGTTAGGATAATGAATAGTAGTTAAATTCAAAATATTTCTTATCATGGTGAAAGTATTTCCCAAACTTACCCATATATACATACCTGGAATTCCCTATTCACAAGTCCTACCACCTATAAATCCTGCCTGTCCTTCAAGGTTCAATTCATATTGGAAATCCTCCATGAAAACTTCCCTTTCTCTCAAGCAGAAGTGATCTTTCCTTCCTTTGAAATGAAGAGCATTTTCAAACCCCCGATTCAGTGAGTGGATTATTACCTAGGTAAAATGTAACTCATATTATTTGATAAGAATTAGAGTATTGTACTTTGTTTACTATACAAGCAACAAATCAGAAGTATAAGCCAAATCTATAAATTCAAAAACACTCCAAGGATGAAAAACTAACACCAAAAATGAACATATTATAAAGTCAAAACTCAGCAAACACTTTTTTTTTTTTGAAGGACCTATAAATGGTCATATACTTTGTAATCAGAAGCACAGCTCTATGAGTTGGAAAGGACCTTAGAAGTCCAAACCATCCCTGAACAAAATTCCTTCTTGCAAAATGCCTGAAAAGTGGTCATGAAGCTTTTGCGTAAAGACCTTAAAGTAGTGGGAACCCAATGTAACCACCTATCTTACCAAATATGAAAGCCTTTTCTCAGTTCTTATTCCTCTTGCTTCCTCTAAGGCATCTGACACTATTGACTACTTCCTCCTCCTAGATCTAGAAATTGTCTTCCCGGGGTTTTCCTGGTATTACTCTCTCTTGGTTATCCTCCTATATGTCTATTTGCTTGCTTTCAGTCTACTTTGCTAGATCATCATCCATATCCCATCTGGTATGTGTGAGTTGACCACACAGCTCTACCCCAGCCCCTCCTCTCTTGCTTCCATTCCCATGGGTTCAACTATTACCTCTCTGTAGAAACTCCCAGGTCTATATATCTAGTTTTAGTATCTCTCTTGAACTCCAATCCTGCATCACCATCTGCTAACTGGATATTTTCAAGTGGATATCTCAAACTCAACATGTCCAAAACATAGCTCATTGTCTTCTCTTTCCCCCACCCCCACCCCACCCCACCCCAGTCCGCCTCTCTTCCTAACTTGTCTGCTTCTGTTGAGTATACCACTATTCTTCCAGCCACTTGGGTTCAAAACCTCAGAGATATTTCCACTTTCCACTCATCCTCGCCCCTCATACTCAATCACTTGCCAAGTCTTGTCAATTTTACTTTCACACTGAGTCTATCCCCTTCTCTCTACTCACATCATCATCACCACCCTGATTCAGGCTCTTATCACCTCTTACTTGGACTACTGCAATAACTTCTACTTTGCTCCCTGAATCTTCTTTATTCCACGTGTCTGAAAAATTGATATTACTAAAGCTGGGATGTACTCCCTCCCCACCTTCACCTCTTCTCTGGCTTTCTTCAAAGCTCAGCTAAGATGCCACCTCCTACATGAAGCCCATCCCAACGTCCCCAGTTCCTTCCATAAATTACTTTGTATATATTTTGTATTTAATATTTTGCATACAGGTTGCTTCCATCCAATATAATGTAATCTCTTTGTCCAATCTGTTACCAAGTCATATTAATTTTACTTCGTAAAATCTCCTTTTCTTTCCCTTTCCCTCCTCTGATACTGTGTCCTCTTCAGCACCCTGGTCCAGGCCCTCATCACCTCACACCTGGACTATTGCAATAGCCTGCTGGTTGATCTCCTTGTCTCATCTTTCCTCTGTTCAGTTCATCCTCCACTCAACTGTCTTATTGATTTTCCTAAAGCACAGGAATGACCATGTCACCTCACCCCATCCAATTCAATAAACCAATGGCTCCCTCTGTCCTCCAAGATCAAATATAAAATGCTCTATTTGGAGTTCAAAGCCCTCCATAACCTGACCCCCTCCTACTTTTTCAGTCTTCTTACAAACTGGCTCACCCTGATATACTTTATAATCTACTGAATGATACTGGCCTCTTTCAAATGTCCTATTCTTCAAACAGGATACTCCATCGCCTATGTACCTTTTAACTGGCTTTCCCCAGACGTTTAATTTTCTTCTTCCTCATCTCCATGTCCTCGCCTTTTTGTCTTCCATTAAATCCCAGCTAAAATCCCTCCTACAAGAAGCCTTTCCCAATCTCTCTTAGTGCCATTGTCTTCCCTTTGTCAATAATCTTTGATTTATCCTGTAAATATCTTTTTGTACTTAGTTGTTTACATATTCTCTTCCTCATTAGACTGTGAACTCCTTGAAAACTGAGACTTTTTTTTTTGGCCCTTCTTTGTAACTTCAGGTTTAGCCACACTACT